ATTTTGAGTGTACTAGTACAGTAATTTGATAACTTTTTGGTCTTCAAAAATTCGTATTTGAAGCCTAAAAAATTAGTATCTCTACCCCCTCCACCCCAGAAGAATAAATGAGGCTTATGTAAAGGCTTAGCAAGTTTGATGCATGAGCACAACATTTCGTAACAGGGTTACGTACTCAACATCTTTGTTTGTCAGCCTTATTTCTCATTTACTTTCTAAGTGTGGTGAAAGTGAGAAAGGGTAGTATCATTTATAAGAATGTGCCCAAATAACACCTTCATATACTTATCCTGCTAAATTTCACACACATCAAATGGGTGACCATAGTATTGAAACACCTACTATGTAATTGGATTAGCCCGGCTCAGAACCTACAATGTTTATTGGATCGGCCTAACTCTGAACCATAAAATAAATGTTTTTACATATTCTAATTGCAATTTTATTACTCTGGAAAATTCCTGTTGAAAGTGTTGTAGGAACTATAAACTGCTATATCCCATATTGTGTTCTTGGAGCAAGGGGAATGTCCCCTCACTGAATATACATGCGTTTTTGCACTCAAGAGTTTCGTATTACGGTTGTACGTAAACTGTTGTTTTATAACGTGAGCGGTGAATTATTGCTTCTTTGTCAGTGGGTTTATAATTTGTCAGTGACAGTAAAATAAACACAGAAAATGTATGGGATATGTTTAGCAGATGAAACTGTCAGGGGAAGAACTTTGAAACTTCATGATCAATAATGAAGAAAAAGGAAACAGCTGCTCTTTATATTTTTGATTTTACTATTTTTCTTTTCATTCTACTTCAATGAGTTGTCTATAGGCTGAAGAATCAAACAATAAAAATAATAACAGGTGAAATATAACGTTTTATTGGAGAAAAAAAAGGTATATATGTATTTAGGTGGTTTCAGAGGTTGTGCAAATGAAATTCGAGATTTTTGAAACAAAGAAAAGTATTTTAAATCTTAAAATGAAAATCACTTTGCACTCAGACTAGTTAAAAAAAAAAAGAATCAATATTTTCATGGACAAATATAAGTAAAAATACTTCATTAAAAAAATCTGATTTTTTGGTGTGCAAAAGGCTTCTAATGTTTACTATAAGTCTACACAATTTTGTAAAGATACACTTAAAATATTAAAAGTTATAGCATGAAAACTATAACAAGCACAAAATGGTTATGAGGTTGGTCCCAAGAACTGAGCCTGTGTTGAAAGAGTTAATTGTGGAACCAACAAAAATAATTAATTTAATGTTTTACATAGGGTTATAAGTAAATCACTCATCAAACCTGTAGTTCACGTTACTGTATTGAATTATGTAATGCATGAGCTGCTTTACCTCGTGAAAAAAATTTATTATTATTATTCATTTTATTACCTAATTTAACCTTATCTAACATGATAAGTTTCTAATGTTTACATTTGAGTTACTTTTATAATGATAAATAAAGAATACACACAAAAACAAATATATTATTTACCTGGGTCTTCATGTTTTTTTGCTGTCAACTATTGATGAAAGTTAAGCCTACTTTTTTATACTAATGGTACTACTACACTAAATAACTTATTTAAATGATGCACCTAAGAATACAGAATAATAACATGCACAAAGCAAACAGTGTTTTATAACTATCATAATTTATCTAGCATTCTAAATATGCGATAAACGGCTTTAAAAATTCAGCTAAGCTTGTCGATGTGTATAGCAGGAGAAAAAGTTTCAAAATGAAGGCATAATAGACAATTTTCTATAAGGAAAACAATGTAACATAATACTTCATTTAAGTGATTAAAACTTTGGCTTTCTACTAGTTATAAATAATATTGTATAAAACATTAGAGAGAACTATTGGCAATTTCTGAATAGGAGGATGTGAAAGGTGGGCATGGCAAGTGAGTCTCATTTTCTAGTTTATGGATCCATAAACAAATAAAATTGAAGACTATAAAAATTGTAATGAGTAATTTGAGTTAAATTCTGTACTTCTCAATGGAGTAATAAATAAATTAGAGAAGTGGGAAGGCCTAGAGAATAAATGTCACAATTCTAATATTAGGAGAGATTGAGGATTTTTTTTTTGGTATTTCCTTATAAAATTAAGAACTTGATTTATTAAATATGTTTTAATGCCAAAATTATTTGTATGCAATGATAATAGATAATAAAGTGATTTAATTAAATTTTGAATGTAACTCTCTAAAAAGTCATGACATGCATACTTTGTTGTGAAAGAGTTAATGCTGTCATGAGTATCCGTTGTTGTTTTTTTTTAAGTGAAAATTGCTTATCGTTACCTTTCAAAATATTGTTGGAACTAAGGATGTTTAGATAACATAATGAGATGGTTGTGACTAAAACATTTTGAATGGAACAACTTTGAGAAGGAGCCTATTTATAATTAACCAATTCATTTGTAACATTTAATTAGCATGGTTGTTATTTAAAAATGTTTTTATTTGTTTAGTAAAACCACTGAAAGGAGATCACCTTGCTAGAGCTATAGGAAGAATAGCTGGTAAAGGAGGCAAGACTAAGTTTACTATTGAAAATGTCACAAAAACTAGGATTGTGTTAGCTGACAGGTAGGAAATGTTCTGTGGTATCCACACTTGGAGAAATTCACATTCATCATAATGCATCTGTTGTTTTTGCAATGAGTCAGGGGTCACCCATGTTACTCCTCATCAAATGAAGAGCAAACAGCTTACAAGTTCTACGAGAAGCATTCTAAGAATAAATATAAAAATGTGGAATATTTGAAATTAGGATTCATTTTTATAATCTTATGCATTTTTATGTCCAATTTGCCATTTTCAATCTGACAACCAAATATGCTGATGTACAAAGTTGCTAAGATACTGTGTTTACGTTTTTATGCTTTATCTTCAGTTTAGGGAGGATTTACATTTTGTGTTCTTTTTTCTTAGTTTGGCTATTGTTAAATGTTTCATTTTTTTGTACATGAAAATATTTTCTTCGGGACAAATGTAGCAGTTTGGTGTTATTAAACTAGTATCAACTTTTGTAACTTTTCCTTTAGACATGACGAACGTGGTTGTTTAAACCTTGCTATGCAATTTAATGTCCTTGTCAAGTGCCTTAAATCTTGATTTCGTGTAAAAATTCGATAATGCTAATTGGTCTGTTAACTTTCCTTCCAGCAAAGTCCATATATTAGGTTCTTATCAGAATATTCGAGCTGCCAGGACTGCTATTTGCAGCTTAATTATGGGTAACTACATTTCTATAGTTTTTTATATTATTATTCCAAGTGATACTGGTTATTATATATATTAAGGTTTAAAGTGGCACAAAAGTAATTATCTAATGATGTGGTTGAACCATTGTATCAATTCATAAAAGTTTTCATGGATATTTCCTCAATATTAAATATGAATTTTCACCTTCCTTCACGTGTTGACATTAAGATCCCATAATAGTGATTGAAACATATAGTATTCTTACTTGTAAGATACCAAACATAAATACAAACCTATTCCAAGCTGAGAGACATTATTTATACAAGCTTCTTCTCCAATGAAGGTGTGGTTAGGACATGTCTAAAGAAGTATTACTTAGATCAAGTAGATAGGAATTGAAATAAAAACAAAACTGAAATATGTCACCTTATAATATTAGATATTGAAATTCTATATTTCTCAGTAAAAAAAATAGTCAAATTTATATTTGAACGTTTTGTAAAACCATTATGAGGAAGTGTCTTGATTTAAAAATAGCACAATTTAGATGATTTAACTTAAAAACTTGATGAAATTACTCGGGAAGGAAAACTAGTATATAGAGCATCTTTGTAATTTGAAATTTTACAAAAGTGTAAGCTTACTAAATTTTTAACTTGGTTATAAATCTTGTTCGTTGCTTGTTTTATTGATGTTGCCATTAATTACTTTTCATGCTTGTTTTTCACTTGTAGGAAGCCCTCCCTCCAAGGTTTATGGAAACCTCCGACAGATGGCAAGTCGACTGTCAGAGAGATTTTGAAAGGAACATTCTGTGAATATTTTGTATAGATAAATCTAAAAAGGAAGTAAATGTAGATTTTCCCAAGCATTAAAGATTCGTTAATGTTTCCCAAATTCTCAGAATACATCATTTTATATTAACTTGTTTTCAACTGTAATATTGATAACATTTGATTACCAAAGTTTTCAATGGATAATATGTATATCAAGTTGTCCTGAGTGTTGTAATTTAACATATGAATTAGATGATTAGAGAAGCAGAAAGGGCAGTGTGTAGCTTAGTGGACCTTGGACCTTCTGACCTGTAAGTGTATATAAAGGAGCATTTCCAAAAATGGAAAGAGGTGGGTGGGGTGTCACTGTGTTTGATTTATTACATGAGCAATATCTTGGCAAACAGAAAAAATAAGAGGCTCTTATTTTATATTCTAGCTTGTAAGTATCAGTAATTTGAGTCTCTAATTCCTACAAAACTATAAACATCACAAACATCTAATTTGAACCAGTACCGCATTCAATATACCACGTGACACACAAAAATCTCTGTTTAACTGTGTTGTTTTTTATATTTACAATATAATCTACAGTTTGATTCCAAACTTACTGAAATAAATTCATCAAATAGTAGTTCAATAAAATTTTGAATGCCAGTCAACAAACGTGACGACATGGCCTTTCACCTGTGATCCTTCTGGAAAGGATTAATGGGTATTAATAAAGGTTACAAAGCAAGAATAAAATATTTAAGTTGATAACTGATGTATTGATATCTGTATTTATTTAATAACACAGAATTAGCACAATACAGACGAACAAATAGTCTAAAAATAATAATAATAAATATACAATAAACTAGATATAAATTGAATTGCAACAAGAAAAAAGGTTCAGGAAAAATCACAAACTAAAATCACTTCCTCCAAGATTTCAGAGTAGTGAAATAATAAGTTCTGAAAACATGTCAGTTGACTGCTACGTGTGCACTATTAGAAGACATGGATGCAATAAAAACAGTTTGAGTTGGGCTACAAGATGTTGAAAACTGCATAGTTGTATTTCTTTAAAATAGGTAAGATAATTTTGGTCCACCCTGTACTTTAACTAGCTTAATATTAAATATATAGAATGTCTTTTGTTTTTAATGTTTATTAAAAGTATAAAGTAAAACATGAGTTTGTTAAACATTCTAGCACAATTTCCTTCTGCCATCAAAGTGATTTCCAATATACAGGGTGGCCCAAAACTAGGTATACAGTTGGTAATTGATAATGTATTTAAAGTATACAGTGGATGATTTATTTAACGGCACTTTACACATGACATGATACTATGGGAAAGTTAATCCCGTATATGTTCAAATTGAAACCCGTCGCTGTTCACACAATCCCGGAGTTAGCCTGCCACACTTCGGCATACTTTCTGACACAAGTCCGTCCATCAAGTTCAGTAAATGCGTCTGTGATGTACCCTTTCATTTTGTCATCATTCCGCGATTTTCTACAGCACACCTTGTCCTTGAGTACTTCCCAGAGGAAAAAACTCCATATACAACGGTATACTTACTTACTATATATATTGTTTTGACCATTTCGGTTATTAGATTCCTTTGTTGTTTTTGTAATAAACGGTTGAAAATAGTGAAACCTGAGTTAGAGAGGAAGAATGAAGAAGCGTTTATACTTCTCTCGATATTTATTAGACAAGTTCATTAAATATTTCTATATCAGTAGTAAAAGCATTTTAATTTATTTATTTTTTTAAGTTAACGAGTTTAAGAATTACTAATGATCGAATAATTAAACTATAACAGATAACGTGTTTCTTAAGTTACTCAAAATTTATTTTGAAACAGAAAATGGTGTGTATTTTTGTGTGCACAGTCTATCCAGGAGTTTTACACTTTTTTTTTAACTTACGCTTTTCTCAAGAGATGACAAGGTTTGTGGATTGAGACACAGTTTGACATCGGGCTATAATGACTAAAAAAGTTAAATTTCTATGCGTTACTAAAAAAAAAAAATTTTTTTTAAATTTAGACCTGTACGAAACTAGTTTGGAAAGAAAGGAGCGTGGCGAAAATGTTTACGTTAAGATAATTGTCCAACACAAAAATTCAGATTTACCAGAAAGAGATAAAATATATATATAAGAAATTCGTCAATATTTGATGAATAGATTTTTAAATTTAAGCTGTAAAAAAAAAGAAAGAAAAAGTAATGATAGAGTAATTGAAATTCAATTATCTGTCTACTGTATTAGATTGTACTAGGAATGAACTGAATCGTACTATAATGGAACAATGGCGTCGCCGACTATATATCTATCTACTTATGTGACCAAAATATATACAATGATGCCATCTGTTGTGCTGAAATACAACAAGATATAAATGCCAGAAATGGTTGAGGCTTATGAAATGTAACCAGGGGCGGATTGGGATGGCTAAGCGGCCCGGGACTGGGATCACAGAATAGCCCTGGACAGGTTTTCTGTTAAACTTTTTATTCCGATGATAAAGTGAATTAAAAATTAATTTACTTATATTTTTCTTCTTATATTTATAGAAAAAGAACGTGTGTTGAA